GGATGTGAGGAAAAGGAAACAAGAAATTTTAGAAAAGCACATTGAAACACAGAAGGTAAAACATTAAACTTAACATTTGGCAAAATATATTTACAAATATAATTTTAAGTGAGTTTAATCTTACAGGTAGTCTTGAAAAATAAATGCACTATAAATGGTAATAGTAAAAATAAACTATTAATAATTATGTATTGGGGATAAAGAAGTACTTTAATGGTGGATATACCAGTAGTTTAAATGGGACTTGCGTTATCAGTGTAAAGTGAAAATGAGATAGTGTCCATTCAGCTTTGTTGATGCATAGTAGTAGTTTATTCACCAGATAATGAAGTGGTGAACCTTTTCCTCAATGTTGATGTGTGTGTGTGTCTTTTTTTTTTTTTTTTTTTTAACCTTGTTTGTGGTCGCCTAACCCCCAGCCAATAACCACAACTAACTTCTACATAGTTGGAATGTTTCTAGTTCATATTGAACTATGTGCGCTTGCTGGAGACAAGAGTGAAACAGAAAGCGAGAAATCACCCCCCTCCCAGGGGGGAAGGCCACACCACAGTCCCTTCTCTATTCTTCTCTTGGAATTTTGGGTACACATGCACACCCACCCAGCATGAGTTTCAAGCTTCCAGGTCTGGGACTTGAACCACGGTCAGCCATGTAGGAGTCCAGTGACTTAACCATTACATCATCTGCTGATCCCCAAATCACAATCCTTTACACTAAAAACTGAAGTCATCTTGACTCAGAGAGCCTGTAATATTTCTTATCTACCTCGTTACCTTGCTTCTTGTTTTCTGTCCATGTAGAGGAAGTCATTCTCAGTCTAGCCACTTAATGTTCCTTGTGACAAAGAAAGCATATTCAATTTTTCTGAGGTTTCATTATGTAAAATGAACTACAGAATTTTCTTCTGGTACTTTCTACATTGTAAACTGCATTTGGAGTAAGAATATATAGAGGCAGTAATTGCAACAAATTGATGATAAAGTAAAATTGTTGATATTACTTCAAATTGATGACTTTTCAAGGATATATCTGAATTTCTTTTGGTCATATGCTTTGCATTTATATTTGAAGTGACCCAGATAGTAATGTAGATGGAGCATCCTTAACTAGAAAATCCAAAATCTGAAATGCTCCAGAATCCAAAACTTTTTTTGAGTATGGATGTTATGCTTCAAGTGGAAAATTTCACATCTGACTGTTAACAAAATATATGACTATTGACAAAAATAAATGAAACTTCTGGTTCCAAGCATTTCAGATAAGGGATACTCAACCCCTATAGTACTATACAATGTAAACCAAGAATGAGACTTGAATTAATTAATTAACCAATCAATTAATTATTTTGTAAAGATTTTGCTAAGGAGTGTGAGCACTCACCAGAGAGAGACAGAGGCTAGAAGAAAGTGAGCAGTCACTCTCCCACCCCTCTGAGGGTGGAGATGGCTATGTGGCAATCCCTTCTCCTCCAGTATCCTCTTAGGATTTTGGCATGGACACACATGTAGCCAGTATGATTGTCAAGCTATAGGATCTGGGACTTAGACCACACAGCCTGCCATGTGGATCCAGTGCTTTAACCTATTTGATACCTGCTGGCACAAGAGTTGAATTTAGTTGCAGTTAGCAGAATAGTGGATTTGGTATTGCTGATACTTAATGCCTGTTAGTGTTGTCATGAAAACATAAACTAAAAATAAATTTATTTATTTACTTATTTATTTGATGCCAGAGGGCATACACATAAGAGAGATAGAAAGGAAACACCCTTCAGTGCGCCTAGTCTTTCCATAATCCACTCTCTTCTAGTTCTCCATCCTGTCAGGATCCTGGCATGCACGTATGCCTGCTGTGTTTTTTAAATCAACAAGGTGGGAACTTGAACCCTGATCGGCCATGTGGGACCCAGTTTCCTTTCTCTACTCAGTGCCCAACTCCTATGCTTTAGGGCCAGCCCAGTATTATTTGTTTTTATACTTAGTTTGCTTTGTTTGCTTTTTAAATAACAGCAAGGATATTAATATTTTTCTCTTTAAAATTTGTCAGATGTTAATTTCAAAACTGGAAAAAAACAAAGCAATGAAGTCTGAAGATAAAGCAGAAATAATGAAAACTTTAGAAGTTTTGACAAAAAATATTACCAAGTTAAAAGATGAAGTCAAAGCTGTTTCTCCAGGACGCTGTCTTCCAAAAAGTATAAAAACCAAGACTCAGGTATTTTAATTTGTGATGTTATATATATTTCTACTTACTGAAAAACAAACTCCACTTTTTTTTGAGAGAGAGAGAAATTTTTGTCATAGGGCTTGTGCCCTTGCTGAGGGACAGACAAAAAGCGAGAATCACCCCTCCTCCCCTACCTTACCCCCCAGGGGGTGGCCATGCCACAGTCCCTTCTCCTCCAGTCTCCTCTCAGGATTTTGGACACAAACGCACACATGCCTTGTGTGAGTTTTAAGCCACTGGGTCTGGGTCTCGAACAGCAGTTGCCTACATGGGAGTCCAGCGACATAACCATTCACTGGCCCCTAAACACTACATTTTTAAGGTTCACGTTTTTTTAGGTGTAATATTCCTTATTCGAAATCTCACCATTGTACTTATCATTCTGTCCCTGCCATTATAAATACACAAAGTCTGTTAATGTATTGAATCCTGTGGAATTGTGGTTGGAAAGTCAGTAATTAGGAAAATAGTTACGGACCATCTTGGAAAAGTAGCTTGAGGAGAAATTGTATAGGTATTTGAGTGCTTGACTCAGGAGTATGAGGTTTGTATTATTGTAAGTAGTTGGTGATATAAAAAGTTAATGACAGAAGTAATATTCTGATAGTATTGTATAGAATGGATTGATTAAAAGGGAAAATTCAGGTAGATTAACTCATTATATACAAATAAGTAAGCAGGATAATCCCAGAGGTAATAAGAGATTTTAAGGAAAAAGAAACAGGGTTATATGATTAATTTATACTTAGTGTGCCTACATGCACAGACTCCACAAAGTTCAAGGAGAAATAGAATTAGAAGATAAAAATGAAAAATAGAAACTTTGTTTTTCAACAAAAGTGACTTAAAGTTTAAGATATGTTTGTAAGTGATGATGTCAGTCATTTAGTCCATTTGTAAAGAACTGAGGGTCCTGATAATTTAACCATATCTGTGCAGACTGGCTGTTTTTTTGGGGGAGGGGGGCAGAGGGTGTGTGCACTTGGTAGAGGGGCAAAGGGTGGAAGAGAGAGTATGAGAAGGCACCCCACTAAAGGAACAGTCCCACCACAATCCCTTCTTCATTTTTCCCTCCTGTCCAGTTTGTGTGTGTGCACACACCTGGTATGTTTTTCAAGCCCTATAGTCTGGGACTTAAACTATGCAGTCAGCCTTGTGGGATCCATCTGCTTAACCGCCACTTCACCAGCTGGCCCAATGCAGACTTTTCCACATTACTAACTAAAGGCATTTGCTGCCCTTTAAACATTTTTTTTAAGATTAGGAAATGAAGTCAGAAGAAACTAAATCAAAACTGTGAGGTAGGTAGATGGTTAATGATTTCCCATCGAAACTCTTGACAAGATTGCCTTTGTTTGATGAAAGGAATGAACAGGAGCATTACCATAGTGGAGGAGGACTCTATGATTAATCTTTTCTCAGTGTTTTTCTGTTAAAGCTTTGTCCTTCCAGAAAGTCAGAAAGCAAAATGCCTTGAATATCTGAAAAATTTGTTGCTGCAAACTTTGTTCTTAACATGTCTGCTTTTGCTTTGACTGGACAAATTCTGTGGGTGGCTGTTGCCTTGATTGTACTTTTGTCTTCAGGATTGTATAAGTAGAGCCATACACCATCTTCTTTTAACATGCTTCAGAAATAAAGTGCTTTTAAGATCTTGATCTCACTCATTTAAAATTTCCATCAAAAATTCTCTTGTCTGCACTTGATCTGGGTGCAACACTTTGGGTAACAATTAAATAGAAAATCTGTAGTACTTTAATTTTTTAGTCAATATTGTATGAGCTGAATGAATTATAATATCTGTCTTATTAGTTATTATTTCTGTTGTTAATTGTCCTCTTCAAGTAGAGCACAGAGAAAATTAATTTTTCTCTCACAAATTAATGTGGATGGTCTGCCGCTATGGGCATCATCTTCCACAACTTTTTGTCTCTTTTTAAAGTAAGTTATATATTTATAAACTGATAATTTCTTTGGGGCATTGTCCTCATACATTTTTTTTTTTTTTTTAAAGAATTAATGATTTTACCTTTCTTCCACCCAAGCTTCACCATAAATTCAGTGTTTCTTCTCACTTCAATTTTAGGAGAAATGATGTTTCTTTGATGAGGCTCTTTTCAAACCAACGTTGTGTCCTTGTTAGTGCCTCAAACTAGATCCTGTTTAAAATGTGTTGTAACAAGTTAATATATTTTGGTCCAAAATATTTTATAATCCACATTTTTTTTCTTTTTTAATTTGCCAGAAGGCACATACACATACCAGAGAGAGAGAGACAAAGAGAAGGGAGTGGGGAGTGAGAAAGCACTCCTTATGTGGTCACAGTCCCTTTTCTCCCATTTTCCTCTCCTTTTGAGATTTAGGGCATGCATGTGTACGTACCTGACATGTTTTTCAAGCCACTCGGTCTGGGCTTCTATACAGTCAGCCATGTGGAATCTAGCTTCTAACCTGAAGGCCACTGCCTGGCTTCATAGTTTTTTTTTTTTTTTTAATAATATGCACATTCCACGAACTTTTTGAAAACCCTGTGTATATATGTGTAAAGTCAGGTGTTTGTATTGATACTCACAACTCAACACTACATGATCCTTTTTTAATTATAGATACTATCTTCCATTCCTAAAATGGCAACTTGGTTCCAGTAATATAATTTTTTTATTCATTGACACATTCTTATAATACACTCAGAATAGTTACAGAATTGGTAAAACAGTACTTTGAATGACTAAATATAAAATTGAAAATAGCATTCTTTACAACTGCAGTATAGTAGGGAGTCTTCAAAAAGTTTGTGGAACATAGATGTTACGAAAAACTGTGCCTGGATTTCCAAATGTTTTTTACACCCAAATAAGCTTATACCTTAGTTCCATTTTCCATGATTTTTTGAAATACTGTCATATTCTACCAAGGGTCAGTATCAAGTCAGTACTATAGTCTAGAATTGCTTCCTTTTTTGTTTTTTTCTCTCTTTTGTGTTATTATAATATCACATCAGGTCTTTTTTTTTTCACTTTTGGATCCCTTTCCCCCGCCTCCAGTTCATGCTGATTAAACATTATTTTTTGAATAAGTAAAATATTAACATGGTCTAAAACCAATCTGTATTTGAATATAGTGTATATTTTATAATGCATTTTGTATCGTACAGGATATTTATTATTGTCACCTAAAATATTAAGTGCTATTTTTTAGATGCAGAAAGAATTGCTTGACACAGAGCTGGATTTGTATAAGAAGATGCAGGCTGGAGAAGAAGTCACTGAACTTAGGAGAAAGTATACAGAATTACAGCTGGAAGTATGTTTTATCGGAACTACAGAGTATGCTTAAAAGGAACTTACTTAGTTGTGAATAATTTAAAAGTATATTCCTTTCATTCTAGTCAGCAATTATTGATAATCCCTAGCATATATGCTGGGATATTGAAAAATGAAAGAAGAGGTTAATAAAATTTTCAGAGCTACTAGAGAAAATCTTATTTAATGAGGAATGGCTATAGTTACATCTATACACACCCTAGTCTCTCTATTTCAAAGAATGTTACCGTTCTGTTTCGGCTTGTCCTCACTAATACTGACAACTATTAAAGACTTATTAGGTATTCTTATGGAGGTATTTTTTGCATATATACAGTCATAGTATATTGAGCTGCTGTAAAGATCAGCCTTCATTGGTGGAACTGTATTGAAGAACATGCTTACTTAAGTTTTGCCTATAGATGGTGCTGTGGATGTTTATAAAAGAGAAAGTAAACTACTTTTTTCTAATTTAATTGTTTCATAGTTCTTTCTGTAAGGAATAAACCCATAAAACCAATACCTATTATATGCATGTATGAATTTTTAATATTTAGCTAAAAATGTTTAAAAATTAGAATTAAATTTTGAAGTATAGAAAGACATTAATGTCATTAATACAGTTAGTACTTGTCTAGGTCATTGATGTAAAATTATACTTTTTGCCTATAAAATTGCTTAATCTGAGAATAATGCTTTTTTCCAAATATGTTGGCAACTTGATCCATGTCTTTTCTGACAGAGAACTTTATGTTAAGTACTACCATTTAGGTATCAGAGACCTAATATTGTTGTTGGAAAAGTCATGACGCCTTTTGCATAGAAAAACACAGAAAAATGCATCTTGACTTTTCCAGCAGCCCAATATTTAGCAGCTACTGGACTTGTCTTGAAGTCTTACCTTAATGCTATTTAGTTGTCTAAATCTACTAGCTATACCTAGTTTGTTTTTACTTTGAAGACTGAAACCCAACTTAAATTACGGGCTCCTTTTATAGGCATTACCTAAATATGAAGTCAAATTGCAAAAAAAATTTGAGATGTCTGTCAGAGTATAACTTTTGGTTTGTGTTAATAAAGTGTAGCATTATTTAACTTATGTATTTTATCTCTTTCTAGGCTGCCAAACGAGGGATTCTTTCATCTGGGCGAGGTAGAGGTATTCATTCCAGAGGTCGAGGTGCAGCTCATGGTCGAGGCAGGGGTCGAGGTCGAGGGCGAGGTGTTCCTGGTCATGCTGTGGTAGATCATCGTCCCCGTGCACTGGAGATTTCTGCATTTACAGAAAGTGATAGAGAAGATCTTCTTCCTCATTTTGCGGTACTTTTCTTACTACTTAACAGAACAAATACTGATACTCATCATTGGGGATAATAGATATAATTAAAGAGGAAATTACAAAAATGACATGAGAAAGTTAATAAAATGGTTTGCTTAATCTATGCTAATCTTTTTTTTTTAAAGGATTATTTTCATTTAACTTTATTTATTTAAATTTGACCAAGGTCTATCTAATGGTAATGGATCAAGCTATGAGAAAGGAGAATGGGATTCTAGTCTTTGCTAATTAATCATTCAACTTGGACTAGGCTTCACGGTTTATGCAGAATGGAGAAGATTACGTCTGCCTTAGGCACTTTTGGTTTAAATGTATTCTTAGTGGTAACCAAATGTTAGTTACTCAGCATCATTTTTACCTTCAGCATTGTAGTAATTGCTCTGGAGATATGAAGGGAATAACCAGTGCTTTACCCTCAAGGCTTTTTACCTATGTTGTGTTTAACACAAACCAGGCAAAATAAACTGCAAGTGTAATTTATAATCAAGTTCAGTGTATTAAACACTATAAATACTTCAGTACCTTTCACATTGGCATGTGATGGAAAAAAGAACAACGAAGAAAATTTCATGAGGTAGTAAAAGTGCAGCTTAGATTTTGAAGTATAGGAAAGCTTGTAAATAGATGGTAGACAAATGTTTTAAACTTTTGAGATTTAAGTGTTTGTTAGTAATACTCCAGGCTTGTAGCAGTTGCAGATACATTGTCGGAATATAAGGAGATATTGAAAGAAATGGTTTAGATTTAAGAAATAACTAAAATGGCTTATATTTAAGGATAAGGAGTCCGGAAAGTCTGGTGCTAGATGGGTTCAAGGGATAAAGAATGGAATCAGAGAGACCAGCAGTTAGCGTAATGGCTATGTTGCTGGACTCCCATGTAGTTGACTGTGATTCCAGTCCTGGACCCGGTGGCTTAAACTCACGCCGGGCATGTGTGCGTGCGTGCCCAAGATCCCGAGAAGAGAATGGAAGAGAAGGGATTCGGCATGGCCATCCTCCCTGGGGGGTGATTTCTCACTTTCTCTCTCTCTGTCTCTTTCCTCTTTCTGGCGAGTGCACGTGCCCTAGAGTGAAAACCTCTCAAAAAAAAAGAAGAAAAGAATGGAAATCAGAGAATTAGAAAAAAAGCTTAGACATAATGTAGCCCAACTCTTCCCTGCTATGTGATCTACTTTCACAAGGGAAAGAAGGTCCAGATAACTTAAGTGTCTTAGGTATAGTTAGTTATACAGCTAATCAAGAAACTAACAGTGAATTGCTAAAATAATCCAAACAGGTGAGTTTCTTACATGTATTTGGAGATTGGAACTCCACTCAAAAGTTAGCAGTGGTATTTCACATTTAAAATTAGAGTCTTAAATAAGAGCACAGATTTAGTTAAAGCTTAGTTTTTTCTATCTCAATCTTGTCATTTGAACACAGACTGAAATAATAGAAAACCCCTACATTAATAAGGGACCATTGACTGTTAGAAGTTGTCATTAACAAAAGCTTTCCTTAATTTATCCAGTGGGATCACTAGTAAGAGCAATAAAATTTAGAGCACTTATTTTGTGGCAGGTATTACTTTTAGTACCTTATTATAACTCATTGTATTATGAGTTATTTGAATAACTATGATGTAGGTACCATTAGCCCATTTTAGATATGAGGAAGATGAAGCATAAAGAGATTGAGTAACTTGTTCAAGTTTACATAGCCAGTTTAAACTAGTGTAAACTCAGGGATGAAGCCTGAGTGTTTCCATAATGCATTCTCTTTACTCTGCTGTACACATTTTTTTCTTTACAAAGTGTGTATGTGTGATTATTATTAAAGAGATTATGGTTATAATTTTATTTTGGGGAAAGAAGGAAAGTATTAGTAACATATGTAAAGGACTATAATATATATTAAAAGGTTGCTTTTTGTACAGTCCAGGAAACCAAAAATAAATATAATTTAATACGCTTAGTTTTTATATGTCCTAAAAGAGTATGGAGAGTAGTGGTTTATGTAGTATGTGAAAAGAAAAATGTTAAACTCTGAATTAAAAAAAACCTGTACTCTCATCCTGGTAATTAACTACTTACTTTAGGAAAATTACTTACATTCTGTGAATATTTTTTCTTCTTTTATTGGGAATGATAGCAAAAAACTCACAGAATGTTCTGAGGCATCAGTGTTTCTGAAGAAAGAATTTAGCATATCCTGAGGTTACAGTAATTAAGAGAAAGATCAAGTAGGAAACTCAGGTTTTGACCAGTGTTCCTTCATTTAAAGACAAGTTCAATTAGGTATAAGTTTTATTAATTCTGGAAAATATAGAATTATAAATAAATAGGATCAAAAGATAGAACCAACCTTTATTTTACAATATCAAGAACTAAAATGAATTTATTCATTCTTTGCTACTAACTAGAATAAATTGTTATATATTCTGGATTATATTTATTAGTGTTTTTAGTGCTTTAAATGCTATTCTTTTACATTTCAAAAAATTTATTTGGAGGATTTTTTTTAATTTAAAGCAATATGGTGAAATCGAAGATTGTCAGATTGATGACTCTTCACTTCATGCGGTAATTACTTTCAAGACAAGAGCAGAAGCTGAAGCAGTAAGTATTGAAAATAATTTATCAAAAATTAAGATTAAGAGATTTATAAATATTGCTTTTAAGTTTTAATATAAATGAAATTTAAAACTTATTAATGACTGCTTCTGATAATAGATAGAATTTTTTTTTTTCTTTTTGGAGAGGTTTTTACTATAGGGTGTGTGTGCTCGCCAGAGAGAGAGAGAGATGGAGAGACAGAAAGCGAGAAATCACTCCCCAGGGGGGATGGCCACGCCGCAATCCCTTCTCCTCCATTCTCCTCTCGGGATCTTGGGCAGGCACACACCCGAACCCGGAGTGAGTTTAAGCCACTGGGTCCGGGACTCGAACCACAGTCGACTATGTGGGAGTCCAGTGACATAGCCATTACACTAACTGCTGGTCCCACAATAGATAGAATATTTGAAGTAGAATTCATTTTCAGAAAAAATTTTCTAATACAGTTAGGCAATTTTTGTATATAACGTGATATAATTAGACTACATGGTCACCAGGTTAGCTATAAAGTTGTATTTTCTTGATTGAGATACCAAGAGTTCTTTGATTCTCCCTTCTTTATCATAGAGATAGGGCTGCCCAGCTTTTTATTCTTTTTTTCAGCTGGCCCAGAATAAGGTTTGCTTTGTCAGTGAGTGGTCAGTTGTAAGGTAGACTTTAAAAGTATAATTCTGGGGGGGGGGACCCAGCAGTTAGCGTAATGGCTATGTCGCTGGACTCCATTTTCTCCAGGCCCTTTTGCCGATTGGATCATGCCAGTCCACAAAGAGGGCCGATCTTTCACATTTAGCCTAGTCAGATTCCCGTGTTAATCCCTTCTGGAAATAATCTTATGGACACACTCAGAGTAATGCTTTTTCTAGATATTCTGTAGCCCAGTCAAGTTGACAGCTCAAACTAACTGTCATTTCTGTCCTGCTGCTGCTTATCAATCCCAGCAGGTTGAAGTCTAAAGAAGTGTTCCTGCATTGGCATACCTCCAACTAGACTGCTGCTTTTTTTTGGAGAGGTTTTTGCTATAGGGCGCGTGCACTCGCTAGAAAGACAGGGACAGAAAGTGAGAAATCACCCCCCCTAGGGGGATGGCCATGCCACAATCCCTTCTCCTTTATTTTCCTTTTGGGATCTTGGGCACACACACACACATGCGCCCATCGTGAGTTTAAGCCACCAGGTCCAGGAATCAAACCACAGTCAACTATATGGGAGTCCAGCAACATAGGCATTACATCAACTGCTGGTCCTTCTGCCTTTTTTTTTTTAAGAGAGAGAATTTTTTTGCTACAGGGTTTATGCACTTGCTAGAGAGAGACAGAAACACCCCCACGCCCCGGGGATGGCCACACTGCAATCCCTTTTCCTCCAGTCATTTCTCAGCACATGTGCCCAGCCTGAGTCTTAAGCCACCGGATCTGGGACTCAAACCACAGTTGAATATGTGGGAGTCCAGTGACATAACCATTATGGCATTTGCTGGTCCCTAGACTTCTGCTTTTTGCCCAAGATACGACATATAACTCTTTTTGGGTACTCTTGGTATAGTTGTTTTAAACTGTATATCTTGAATATCTTTCCAAAGACTGATCAGAAGTATATGCAGCCTTTTACTTTGTTTTTTAAAAGATAGTTTCAAAGATTGGAAAAAAGGAAAATGTGAGTGAGCTGTGGGAGATTCATAGGCGCCTTTGTAACCCTATTTGTTCTTTATTCAGAAATTGTAGAAGACAACATACTATTTTGAACTTGCCATTTTTCTGAGGGCAAAATAGCTTTTCAAACAATTAACATTATGTGAATGGAAGAATGAGATACGCTTTTCAGAAGTTTAAATAGATTGTGATCTAAATAAATTTTCAACAGATTTATTCCTTACATAGTTTATATTCCATGCCAGCACAGTGGGTCATGGCTGAGGGCTTCCCTAGTAAAGAGTTGCTCTTAAGATATTATAGTCAGTAGAAGACTGTGGGTCTCAAATTTCTTTAAAATGCCATAGGTTATGAGCTCTCACCAAGAGATAGAATATGGATGGGAGAACATTCCCCCCCAAGGGGGTTGGTCAAAACACAATCCTTTCTCCTCCATTTATTACCTTGTGGATGTGCCTTTATACTTTTGAGTGTGCATGCATACGCATTCAATATATTTTCCAAGCCTCTAGTGCTCAGGTACAAACCATAATCAGCTGTTGGGAATCCTGCTCTCTTACCACTAGGCTATGGGCAGTTTTCTCTCATCTTAGCACATATTTTCACTTTGTTTAAATAGGGATGCAGGGCCAGCAAGTGGCGTTGAGGTTAAGGTAGCTGGATCCCACATAGCTGACTGTACTGTATGAGTCCTGGACCCAGCGGCTTCAAAAACCCACTGGGGGGAACCAGCAGTTAGCGTTATGGCTGTCACTGGACTCCCACATGGTCGACTGTGGTTCGCGTCCTGGACCCGGTGGCTTAAGACTCACGCCGGGCGTGTGTGCGTGTGTGCCCAAGATCCCAAGAGAAGAATGGAGAAGGGATTGCGGCGTGACCATCCCCCTGGGGGGGTGATTTCTCGCTTTCTGTCTCTGTCTGTCTAGCGAGTGCATGCGCCCTATAGCAGAAACCTCTCCAGAAAAAAACTCACTGGGTGCTTGTATGTGAATTTCAAGAGAATAGAAGAGAAGGGATTGCAGTTTGGCTACATCCCCTTGGAAGTTATTTCTCACTTTCCCTCTCTCTCTCTCACTCTCCAATGAACTCACATGCCCTATAGAAGAACTAAAATAAATAGATAAGGGTCCAGATAAGGTTCATCTTTTGATACAACTTGATTGGTATTACAGTCATAAACCTACAGATTTAAAAATTTATTGGTATTATTCTCAGTTACTGATGTTAAAATTGTCCCACTTTTGGTTAGCAGGTGACTACAAATAAACCCCTGAGTTCTTCCAGCGGGACCCTAGTGGTCTATGATAGTTTCCTCAAAGAGGTGTCCTAGGTATACACCTTACATGTTTTCTCTTCCAGACCTGTAAATTGACCAATTCTCTAAGGAGTTTTGTTTTGCTTTTAAAAAGTATTGGGTAGGGTGGGCAGGTGGTTTGGTGATTAAGGTGCTGGACTCCCACATGGTTGACTGCGGTTCAAATCCCAGATCTGACTGTTACTTTCTCTCTCTCTCTCTCTTTGTGGTAAGCATATGTACCATATAACAAATTAAATAATAATAATAAATAAAATTAAGTAAATAATTCTTAAAAATGTTTTAAAACTTATTGGCCAAAGGTATTTATAGATCAGAATCTTGGTATTAGGGGTGCTTGGAACTATTTAGTATGTTACTGTCCTTAGTTTTTTTCCGTGGTTATAGCTCAGAGTGAAAAAATATATATGTACATTTCTTTTTTTCTTTTTCTTTTTTTTTTTTTGTGTGTGTGTGGGGGAGAGATTTTTGCTATAGGGTATGTGAGAGTTCACTGGAGAGATAGAGAGTGACAGAGAGACAGAAAGCGAGAAGTCATCTCCCAGGGGAGATGGCCATGCCACAATCCCTTCTCTTCCGTTCTCTTCTTGGGGTTTTGGGTATAGGTGTGAATTTCAAGCCTCTGGATTTGGGACTTCAACCTCAGTTAGCCATGTGCGAATTCAGTGCCTTAACACTACACCACCTGCTGGCCCCCATACATATATATTTAAACACACACACATGTATGTATATAAAAATAAATTCAGAGCTTGCACTTATACTTCCAGTTTAATTCAGGACTATAAGGTTATTTTTATTATTATTTTTAAAATTGCCAGAGGACATGTGTGCTTGTCCTCTGAAAAGGGAATGAAAACATCCTCCACTGGAACGTGGTCATTGCAATTATATTTCCTCCATTTCAGCTATCCTTTAGCTTGGTACTTTGATAAGTTTATTTATTTATTTTTTTTGTCCGTTTCTTTGTTTTTTTAAATTGTCTTTCTCCTCCCACCCCTCCCACAATGGCTTGTGCTTACCAGGGAGAGACAGAGAGGAAAAGAGAGAAAGTACCACCCCTTGCCTCCCCATTGGGGTGTGGTTAAACTAAAGTCCGTTTTCCTTCAACCTGTTGGGATTTGGGGCACCATGTACGGTTTTCAAGTTGTCAGAACTGAGATTGGAACCACGCAGTTGGCCACGTGGAATCCAGCTCCCTTAACCACCAGGTTATGGGCAGGCCCACACAATTGCTTTTTATATTTACATTATCTCAGTGTTTACATTGAGATGACCAAATTTAATTTTAATCTGAAGTTATTTCCCCATTTGCCTTTCTTATTTTTTAGATTTTTGCATTTAGCCCCACTTCTACCTTTATGATCACTATCACCTTGCTTAAACATGAAATGTGGTGTTCTTTATGTATCATTTCATAATTAATTATTAAGTTCATTTTTTTTTAGTCTTTTTTAATGATGACAGAACATGTTGGGGGGGGTACCCTCCACAGGATCTGGTCATGCCATGGTCCTGTTCCTTTAATCTTCTTGCCTATTGGATTTTAGGTATTCTCATGCACTTTTTGTGTACTTTTAAGCTGACCAGGCCAGGAATTTAAACTGAGGTCGACATGTGAAATCCAACTGTACCATAGAACTGACCCTCAATTTTTTTTTTAAGTATATTTTTTTTTATTTATTTATTTATCATAGCATATGTGTATATGCAGATGCATGCAAGAGAGAGAGAGAAGAATCACCTCCCAGTAGCGTCTAGTCACATCAAAATTCCTTTCCCCCAGAACAATCCTTTGTTAGGATTTTGGGTACATATATACCCAGAATGTTTCAGGTCTTGCCAGGGATTTGAGTTGCACTCTGTTATGTGAGTCAGCACTGCCTTCTAGCATGCTCTTAACTGTATCACAGCAGCTAAGCCAAAGTTCTTTTTTTTTATTTTAAAGAGAGATTTTTGCTATAGGGCACGTGCATTTGCCAGAGAGATGGAGAGAAAGAGAGTGAGAAATCACCCCCCAGGGGGCATGGCCTTGCTGT